AGCAGCAAAAGAGCAGCAACAAAGAAACATAGAAACAGGAGCAGCAGGAGCGACAAAGAACAGCAACAGCACGTTGGGAACTGAGAAACGGTCTGGGGTGAAGGGTGGGGTTGAACCCGGGGGGGGGGCATACTCCTGATATATCAGGTGTTAGCACTCAGGTCCAGGTTCCCGCCCTCCTTGCTCAAGCAAGACAGACTCCAGCTAGCTACAGCTAGCTTTCGTGATTTGTCGCCTGACACCAACCAATGCAGAGGCGTCGCGAGCGACAGCCTCTTCTAGCACTGTGTCCTGCTCAAACCGCTATGCGGCAGTGCACTCCTGCAAGCGCTTGGCAAAGCCCACAGTCACCTTGGCTGCCCAAGCCAGGTAGGTGCCACACGTGAGCTCGCCAGTTTTTAAGAGGTTGGACAACCACCGGCCATGCCACACTGCACCTGCATACGCCTTCCCCGGGCGGCTGTGGAAATGAGAGGTAAGCACCAGTGGTGGGAGCGGGCGCTAGCAGCGCTAGCACTTCGGGCAAGAGGTGGCAAAAGGTGGCAAGAGAGGCAAAAACAATGGGAAGAAGGCACGGGTTCTCCAAGAAAGCTTATACTCCACAAATTGGACCTTGGCTGAAGAAAACTTTGCGCATTCTTGCGGATTGTGTTTCCTATGGAAAGCGTGTCAAAGTTCACGGTGAGAATCTCTGCAAATCTCTGGCGCCGCTTCTCTTTGATTCGTTCAGCTTCACTGTCTTCAGTGTGATCTGAGCCCTGAGTGAGGCAGACTCACAAGGAACCGGAACTCTCCACTTTGTTTGCGGGTTGAACTCTCTGACTCTTCATTCTCTACATTCGGCAAACTATGCACTATTTATGTGTGTTGTCGAACATCCTGTACAATATCGGGACAAAAGATTCAAGCCCAAGTGTTGCTAGCAGCTGATGGCAGGTAAGGAATACAATGCTGCTAGCAAATGCTTGCCAGGTTTGTCGGCAAGAGCAAAACCTTTTCAGTTTCATGAAAAGCCCTTGAGGCCTTTAAAGGTCTTGGAGAAGATAATAGCAGCTAAATGCACCAGCGCGCCGAGGTACAGAAGAATCGTTTTCTTCGTGAGCCTTGATCTCACTAACTCCGGTCTTGCTCGGGAATAGTCGGGTCACCTTCCTCCGTAGGAAGTCCCTGAACCACAACCCAAAGCGAAAGCAGGAAACAATGCTCTCTTATAAGTTCTTTGCTGTATAACAGTACAACGATGAGATTTTCACTGGGTGGTCCGGGCCAGGCCATCTTGGGCTCCACTTTCGGACGTGCGACAAAGCACACAAGCACGTGCTAGACATTCTGTGAAACATTCGTAGCGCGTCCTTGCACCTAGTAGCAATGCCCTTTATTCCTAATAGTTTCTTATTACTAGTAAGGCCAGGAGCCCCTAGTAGCTCCTTGCCCCTAGTAGTAAGGCCAGGAAATTCAAATATTGCTCAAACAAATCGCTCCGAGTTTTGACCGCCGAGCCTGGAGTTCTTGGAAGGAACAACTCCAAGGAGCAAACCGATAGTGGTACCCGTTTTGAGCATAGTCCTTGCAAACTGCTTGCGCAATTCTTTCGTGGCCAAACCAGGACTGTATGTCTAACATAGTTTCAAAAGGCTAGAATAGCAAACAATCTCACATTGTTGCCTACAGCCACTTGACTTCTTGGACGCACTCTTGCAAGAACAATTGTATAGTTCAACTGAATTCAGGAAGAAACACTGCAACCTGTTTCAGGCTGAAGTCATTTACAAGTTGACGTTCACATGTCCGCTAAAGGCATAATGACGTGTGAGATTGAAAAATGTCCTGCATATTAAACCCTGCGGAGCCTATCTTGACAGCGCACCTCCCTTGAAGTGTGGACCATGTGACGGCTTTAAGTTATTTCACACCGGGGCTAAGTCATCCTTTTCTGTGCAAAATAAAAACATGATGAATGCTTCAAGTTTCTTTCCAGTAGATTGGAGGCTGCCACTAAGAACACCAGATATGGTTCCAGAGCGCTTCTTTCCAGCCTCCTCCAGACCACTAGTAGTTCGCCCTTTGGCCAGCGACATCCTCAGCCAAAATGGACATGGCTGGCAGGAACTTTAGGTGAGAAACTCAATCTTTACAAGAAAGAGACGACTGAAGAAATTTGAGGAAGGGTATATCAGTCTTGTGTGTCCCCACAGCTTCTGAAAAGAAAATATATTATATTATATACACAAAAATATCCCAGAAAGAAACCCCAAACAGTGCGTCTAAAGGCCTAAGGTCTGGAGGTGTAGAAGCAGAAGGTCCAGAGATCTAGACGCATTGGGTTCCAAGAGAGAGGTGATGGTAGTGATGATGGTGATGAAGGTGGAGGTCGTGGTGATGGTGGTGGTGGCGATGGTGGCGATGGTGGCGATGGTGGCGATGCTGGCGGCGATGAAGGTGGTGATGACGGTGGTGGCGACGGTGGTGGCGGTGGTGACGGTGGCGATGCTGGCGACGACGTTGTGATTACAGTGGTGACGACGGTCATGGAGGCTCACAAGCCGCAGGCTTAGAATTGAAGGTCTAGGCCCAGAGTTCTGGACCTCCCACACGGGTTCTGCACTTCAGGGTCACAAAGTAGTGCGTCTGCAACGAAGTCTACCCTTCAAGGTCCTCAAAGTACGGCACCTGCCACAAAATCTGCACCTCAAGGTCCACAAAGTGCTGCGCCTGCTGCGAAATCTGCACTTCAAGCTTCACATCGCGCAGCCCTGCCAAAGCGATTCGCACTTCCAAAGACAACATCCAGATGCCAAAGCGCAGCTTTCGCTCGAGACCTCCTCCGATTTCTGAAAACAAGCCACATGTCCAAAAGTCCCGATTCACTACACCCGCCACGAAATCAGAGCACGCCGAAGACCACGCATGTCCAAAGTACTTCCCACCAGATTCTGTAAGCCTGCGCAGTCGAAACACACTTCGAAGATCTCGAAGTGAATGAATGTACTGTAAATAGCAGCGAATCAGCCGGACACGCGTCCTTAACCCTTACCGTAAGAACCCCTAGTGTTACCACACTGCCTGGAAGAAAGGACACACACACATATCATCACATATCCATCCCCCAAAATCTTGGATCCAAATGAATAGTGCAAGGGCTTTCCTGCATCGCTCCTTACTAGCAGCTTCCTTGAGCCTACTCTGACGCCTACCCTCCCAAGCAAAACAACAAGATGGAACCCACGAACCCGAATGCAAACACGATCGAAAAACTAATATGTCCAAATGACACTCTGTAGGAGACTCTTGCGGGATACTCTGTAGGACACTCTTGTAGCACACTCTTGTGGGTCACTCTTGTAGGAAACTCTTGTGGGACACTCTTGTAGGACACTCTTGTGGGACACTCTTAT